TGTGAGTCAATGTCAATGCAACTATATAGTTTGTCCTCTTTTTTTATGTAGCTTTTTTCACTTAGCAATCTTATCTTTATATTTACCTATATTCCCATAGTCCAGTTGGCTCTTTCACTGAGGAATATTCCATTATTTGAATATACACCATCCGTTTCTCTGTTTACCTTTTGTTGCTATTAGGGTTGTTTCCTGTTTGGGACCATCACAAGCTTTACGTGAACAAGCTGGGTGTGAACATCTGCTTTCAGCTCTCTTAGAAATGAATACTATATATTTAACTGCTTGAGAGACCATCAGACAGTTCTCCAGTGGTCGTACCATTTTACTTTCCCACCAGCTGTGCAAGAGAATTTCACTTCTCTACAACCTTGCCAGTTCTCAGAATATCCAGCTTTTGAAATTTTGAACACTCAGGGGTGCAGCATTACCACATTGTCCTTCTAAATTGCATTTCTCTAATGACTAAGGGTATCGAGCACCTTTTACGTGTGTATTTGCCATCCGGGCATCTTTCACAGCATGTCCCCTTCTTTCTTTATTATGCTCTTTGTTTTATTATTGACAAGGCATGACGTTGTGTCACACAACAGTGTTTCCTACATATGCACTCAGTGCTTATCCTTAGCAGAATTAGATTTAAAAAGTTTTCAGTAGGCACAGAGCGCACAAATATGTCTAAATAGATACACACCTGCTAATCAGCTAGGGAAATGTTTGACGACACCATGTTAGAGAATAAAACCCTCAGAAGCCTCAAAACCAGTGTCAGCAGGGCAGTGCTATTTGCATAGCTGTATCTGACCATGGAGGTTTCCCTTTGAACCAAGAAAAGCCTGTGGCCTAACAGGAAATGTTGCTGTGACTGATAGGACAGAGCTAGTGGGCACTGTAAGCCCGGGGGTTTGTTCCCATTGCAACAAGGTAGCTAGCCAAAAGGTGGTAGGGACCAAACATCCCATGGTAGAGCACAGTGCTTACGTGCACGGATTAGGAATCCAGGCAGAGCCGGCATTGAATCTCCTTCGGCCATCAACTTGGAGCTCTCGGGCAAGTCGACCAAATTCGGTTTCTTTATGTGTAAACTGGAAGCGAAGTGCCTCGTTAGATTGCTGAACAAATTAAGTGAGAAATGTGTATGGTGTGTGGCAAAGGCCCTGGTATTCGTACTGAGCACTAACTAAACTCCAGCTGTTATGCAAGAGAAGTTCTCAGTCTGAGGGTTAAGAGTTTGAGCCTCAAGGACCAGTTCGGTTGAGCTGGAACACTGACTAACAACTCCTAGCTGTGACAAGTCACTTCTCTCTGGGCCACGATTTTCTCTTCTGTATAATGCGAGTAATATGGCAAAAAACTTCCTAGGGTTGTTGATGAACATGAGCTAAGTTCTTATCTGCAAAAGCTCAGGGGAAAGGGCACTTTAAGAAAAAAGTTTCAATGTTATGCCAAAATAAACTTATACTTTAGTCCCATTTTTCCATGGAATGTTTGAGTCCCCTTGCATTTAGAATGGCAGTCGCAGACAGGAAGCGTTTGCTATTACGGCTGCAGGTATCTCCCTAAGCTTGTCAGTCATCAGCAACCTCCTTGCTCTAGAGTAGCAATAATACCATCCGGATGGCTATTCGGAGAGTATCTACTGTGCGCAAGAGCCGAACTAGATGTTAGGAAGGACTGAACATTTGTAAAGGCGTGGACACTTGTCTGTTTCCAGAGAACACAAACCTTAAAACAGGAAACATGGCTGCTGTTGTCGGTAGACATGGTAGATCACTATTACTGAATGCCTGATGCAAACAGATGGTAGAGAAGGTCAGAGGCAGAGGGACTATCATGGAAGTAGGGGGAAATACAAAGAATGAAGGGGTGGGACCAACAGGTGGCATGGTGGTTAAGGCGTTGGAATTCCCACATGCCTGACTGCTGGTCAAGTCCTGGACCTGGTAGCTTGCTTTCTCCCTCTCCCTCTCTCTGTCTTTATCTGGAAAAACTCATGTGAAAAAATAATAATAAAAATAAATAAATAAATCTTATTTAAAAAAAAAAGAAAGAAAGAAAAAAGAATGAACGGGCTGCTCAGCTATGAAGCTGGACCTTAAAGAAGGACTAAGGAGGAGAGAGCCAGTGAGCCAGAGAGCAGAGAGGGTTCCAGGCCAAGGGGTTATGTAGACAAGGTGAGGTTGCAGAAGCATGACAGTCCTCCATCAGACCAGCCAGAGGCCAGTGTGGCTGGAGGGGAAGGTAGGCAAAGGAAAATCCTTTCTAAAAAGATGGAAGCCAGTTGCAAAGGGCTTAACATGCAGGCTTTTGCATCAATATTTAAACCATAGACAGTAGAGAGTCAAATAAATTTACTGGTGGTTTTTAACTTTAATGTTGATAAATACTGCCCATCTAGAGCCAGTCAGTGACATGGTGGTTAGGACAGCTGGATCCCACATGGCCAACTATGTGGTTCAAGTCCCAGAAGCTTTAAAAACACACCAGGCACATGTGAGTATGTGCCAAAAATCTCAAAAGGAGGGAGCTAAGGAGAACGGATTGTGGTGTGACCATCCGCCAGGGGTGCGCTTTTTCACTCTCTCACTCTCTCACTCTCTCTCTCTCTCCCCAGCAAGGGCTTGTGCCCTCTGGCAAATTTTTAAAAGCAAAAATTCCTCATCTATGATTTTTTCCAAAAAACTCAGCAGTAAAAATACATAAGCCTCGGTGTACACTTAAAGAATACCAGGGCCAGTAGGTGGCCTGGTGGTTAAGGGTGCTGGACTCCCACATGACTGACTACAGTTTGAGTCCTAGACCTGGCAGCCTGCTTTCTCACTTTCCCTCTTTGGACAAATGTAAATAAATAAATAAATAAAGTTAAATAAAATAATTCTAAAAAAAAGGAAGGAAGGAAGAAAAAGAAAGAAAGAGAAAGAAGGAAAGAAAAAGAAGAAAGAAAAAGAAAGAAAGAAAGAAAGAAAGAAAGAAAGAAAGAAAGAAAGAAAGAAAGAAAGAAAGAAAGAAAAAGAAATAAAGAAAGAAAAGAGAAAAAGAAAGAAAGAAAGAAATCAGAATACCTGAAATTGGGACTCAGGCACATGATGGGACTTCAAAAAGTTTGTGGAAAAGTGGAATTAAAGTACAAGTTTATTTTGGTAAAAAAAAAATTGAAACCCATGTAGAGTTTTTCATAATACGCATTTTGAAGCACCCTCCCAAAAGAATTCCACAGGCAATTCTAACAGAAACTAAAAGTTGAAAACCACTCTAGAGCTTGGATTACCACGTGTGCCTTCTATGGTAGAGAACGCAGAAGAAAGGAAACTAGGATGTGCTAAATATCCAACATGCCAGGTTGGATATTACAGGCATTATTTCATTTAGTCCTAACAACAACCCTTTCCGAGAAACGTTGCTATTTTCATGTTCTCACCTATCAAAGAAGCTGGTACCCAGAGATGTTACGAATGCAGTAAGTCAGAGAGGTGATGTGAGCCAGTGCAGGCTCCAGGACCACGCAATCCGCCATATCACACGACCTCCTTATAAACACCCGTGTGCATTTTCCCCATGAAACCTACTGCAGCTCAAAAAGCAAAGTAGCAAATGTGGTATCATAAAAACTGTCTCCCCCCATCTATTCTCTGCTCCAGTGATGTCTAAATTTTACCTTCCCTTTGCCGTGACAGAGCCAAACCACTGAAGGCTATCATTTCATGCTCAGTTACTTTAATAAACAAGCTAAACTTTCTTTCTCATAACTCATTTCTCTCGCTCCCACCCTTTCCTCTACAACATCTCCTAATGCACGCTACATTGTTTGGAAAGTATTCAGAGCAGAACACAAAATGAAATCTGAAATATTAGATCATTACTTGTGTGATTATTTTTTTCCTTTTACTCTAAGGCTGATGAAGAGTGTCTCTTACCAGGCTTCACAGAAAATTCAAAGGAAATGAGGTCAGTGCTGTCTAGCTTTCTCTAAGGTCTACCAATAAGTGCTAAGAACTATTTTATTATTTTAGTCTAACAAGTTCCTCACTCTGTTTTTCAAATCCATTCCCTGCAAGTAGAACTTCTGCCACTGTACTTGTGTTTGTGTCTGTGTATCTACAGAGGAAATACTATTTCACAAATTACTATTGTATCGGGACCAGCAGTTAGCATAATGGCTATGTCGCTGGACCCCCATATAGTAGACCGTGGCTCAAGTCCCGGACCCGGCAGCTTAAACTCACGCTGGGCGCATGTGTGTGCATACTCAAGATCCCAAGAGGAGAATGGAGGAGAAGGAATTGCGGTGTGGCCATCCGCACCCCCTCCCCCCGGGAGTGATTTCTAGCTTTCTGTCTTTCTGTCTCTCTGGCAAGCTCATGCACCCTACAGAAAAAATCTCTCAAAACTAAATAAATAACATCATATAATCTTTGGGTGATTTGAGAGATGATATGTGGCATTATCCCCAGTAACTTAAAATGAATTCTAGAAAAGGAGAGTTATGAATGGGAGGCAAAATAGATTCATCACACCAAAAAGACACTAAACATGAACATATTTATTTCAAAACATAGAGTTGAGTCCATATTAATAAATACTTTAAACACTGAACATAGAAAAACTATTTTCATAGTCTAAGAAAACAATTTACTAAAGAATCAGAGAAACAGGTAATCCTTCACCTGCAGGCCATTGACAGAGTCATCTAGGAGTAGGAAAAGTCTCCTGAATGCTCAGGGAGTTGGAGAGGGGCAACAGAGGGGTTCATATGGGTAGCTGTCTTTCTGTTTTGGAAAAGAATTACTATCAAGTAATCAGGGCCAAAAATCGTAAACAAGTTCCCAATTTCAATCTAATTTGGATCACCCTGGTTAATGGTGGGGCCATGATGCCCCTCAGAACCCAAGCAAGAGCTGCTATCGCTGCTGCTTAAAGCTCAGGTCAACTGCAGCATCTCAACCTCAAGAACTAAAGGTGCCGCTAATGTCGACGCCGCCACAGGACGCTCTGTGTAGATCTGAGTCCTTTCAGTGCTACCTTGGTAGGAACGCATCATCCCATGAGCCAAACGGTGATCCAGCCCCTTCACCCCTGAAGCTGAGAGGACACATTAGCCAGGCAGCTGCCCAGGCCTCTCACCCATGGAGGAAACCACTGGTCACTGTTTTCCTGTAAACCTCAAATTAAACAGAATCTCACAGATTTGGAGTCCTCACACCAACTGCAATAATTGGTAGAGAAATGATCCAGAGAGGAATACAGGGAAACCTGTCTCAAATGAGCCTCAGGTAGGAGTGGAACAAACTGCTCCAAGGGGCTTCGGGGCATGGAAAGGACCCTCTGCTATTCCTGGCTTCCTTGGGTCTTTTTCACAGAAGACAACTTGACAGGCTATAAAAAGTAATAGAAAGCTTAACTCTGAAAGCTTCCCCTGGCCTCAGGAAGTTTCTGGGAAGGTAAGGAAGGAAGAAAAGCACTGTCCTTCATTTTGTTACAAGATCTTGGCCAAGAGCAAGAGGAAGAACTGTCTTGGGTTCCGGTGCATCTAAAGACAGCTGACGGCCAAGATCTAGCCAAGGAAAAACACCAGCAGGATGACTAGAGGCACTTTCACTTCCAGGAGGATTAGAATCCCAGGGTTTGGTTTGGTTTTATGCTAGGGAGGGCCTCGGGGATCTTCGAGTTCACCTCCCTCATTTCCAAAAGAGGCCTGGAGGCCTAGAGTGGTTAAGCATCCTAAACAGGTCACACAGCTTGTTACATTCGCTTGGGACACAGAGAGAGGCGGAGAGGTTGCAGGAAGTGACGCAGTGCGGCGTGGCTAGTTACATTCAGAATCCCCCACTTGAAAATGTCCCACCCTGGGCCCCTGCCCATTGACTGTCACCATAGTGGACAGGTGCTGAACTGAGCTCATCTATGAGCTTCCCTGGACAAGGTGGGAGGAGCCTCAGGTGCACCCTCACTTCCCAGTCCTCGAGGCCACCTGGATGGCTTTGATCCACTCTGTGCGCTCCTTGGGAGTGGCTGCTTGCAAGAAATAATGAACTTCATCAGCAGTGATGATCTCAAAAAGGTTCTCCTCCTCGCCCTTCTTACCTGGTGAAAGAGAAAGTGAATGGTAGTGCACACAGACACTCAAAAGGCCACTGGTCCACTCTCCTGCTGCAAGTCACCAAGTCTCCATCGTCTTAGTATTCCAAGGATATTAAGTATGTGGTTTTTAAACATACAATAGTATATGATAATATATACACACACACACATATATATACTAATTGTGTAAGCATATAGAAGGCATTCATATAGATGGTGCACAATATAATCATATATGTATTGTGTATTTTGTGTAAATAAAGCACTCTTAGAAAAATCATCATAGTTTATAAGCAGACTAAAGTTTTCACCTTTGCAGATCGATAGTGCTTAGTGAGTAACCTCCAATGGTGTCTAATGAGTACCTTCTCTGTGCTCATAAAGGGCTGGTGCTTAAATACACACACACATGCATGCATAAAATAAAACAAAACTAGACCTACCACTAGTACCACAAGAATTGCCTGGACTGGTTTTTATCAAGAGCTAAGTTAGTGCTTCTGCTGAAAGATCAAAAGACAATAAACTGGCCAATACTGTGACAAGACTTAAAACGTACCTATCTCAAATCGAAAATCAACACGCTTCCTATCTCAAAACTACGGTGTAATTCTAGGGGTTAGGAGCATGGGCAGCTCCACAGATAGTAAAGATCTGGGCTTGGGCAGCTGTACTGGGTTCCTGTCAGCCTCTATATTATCATAAATCCAAGATGGCAGGACAAAACAGGGCTCACGATGTCAAAACCACATTTCCCCAGAGATTCTACTTGCTCCCAGCACCTGAGAAGTCAATCTACACCCACAAAGTTATTCCAGGCACCACATCATAGACTTGGAATCCGGATGGGAATCCTCATTTTGGGAAGAGGAACTAAGATCAAGGGTAGTTAAGTGATTCCACAAAGGGCATGTGGCCCACTACCTTCCTACCACAGACCTAAGCATAACAGGTGTTCTCTCCTTTTGCCATGCGACCTCATTGCATAAATGCTTCTTTTGTTGTAGGAGATAACTGGATTTGTAAAAGATCTCCTCTGAGAGCTGTCCTGGCTGAGTTACAGGTATTGGAATCTAATAAGCTCTCCATCTAAGTCAGTTCCTAAGTGATGGCTCTTTCTCAGTGGTGTACACAAACCTACTCAAGGCATCCACAAAGTGACTCCGACCCTTCAAATCCTGGAGGGCTAATACTCCAGTTAGCACAGAACATCTTTGGTATCGCCAAGGTTTTCAGACAGTTAAATTCATTCATACTCATGCTGATGGATAGGTTGATGGATGAACTGATTGACTGATGCTGGCTCAGATGTCCAGGTGTGGGGAGGGAGTCTGCATAGATGCATTCTTGCCCACAAAACTGTATTCTTACCGTCTGGGTTGCTCTCTACTGAAGTCACTACGCAGCCTCTCAAGTGAATCGCTCCCAGGGGATCATCCCCCTAGAGGATGAGAGAGGGGGTAAGTCTCAGTACGGTGTAAGGATATGCGGAAGCCCTGTGGACTTAACTCTGGCATAGGCCAGTGCCCACAATAAGAGCAGAAGGAGATTAAAGGAAACCCCTTCCAGATTAACAAAGAGTCCTTATAGATCCTCCACCCTCCACTTCAGTTGGTCCAGAGAGGCTGGATAAGAAGATGGAAGTTAATCAGGACTTTATATCTGGAGGAAAGTGGCAAGAGAGATGGAGAGGCTCAGATCTCCCTGTCTCACTAAAGAAGAATCACGTTTCTAGAACTCTTCAGCCCTGTGCACATGCTGCAGTAGTAAAATCCTCACAGGAGGGAATGGAGGAGCTCTCACTATAAGCAGAGGCCGAGGACGGTATAGGTTGTTTTTATACTTTGGGGGTGGCTCTTTGTTCTTTCCTTTTTCTTCTTTTTTTTTTTGGGGGGGGAGAAACCCTCTTCAATAACCAATAGCTTAAGCTGCTGGACTTAAACCTTGCTCCCATGTTCTCATCAAAGCTAGACTAGCAGAATGATTACTTTTTTGCATACTAGAGCAGAAGTAGGCTGTTGGACTGATGGAGTTTTCTGAGAATATCAAATTGGAGCAAACAAAAAAATTATGCTGGGTTGATCAGATAAAGTACAACATAGTGATGTTTTCTTCTGTCCCTGAGCTTATGCTGGCCTCAAAGGCCTAAGACCTAGGTCTTTGCACTGAAAGAGGATAGGGAAAGGTAAAGGAAGTAGATGGTGATGTGGAAAAAAGGATATTAGCGAAGAAGAAAGGGAAACTAGAAGCCCAGCTCTTGCGTGCAGTGGACGTTTCTACTGGAGTGGATGTAGCCACCACAAAGACTCACCCCAGCAGGGTCGTAGTAGTGCAGGTAGGCAGGGTCTTCTCTCAGAATGAACTTCCTCACTTTCCAGTTTTTCCTCCTATGCCCCTGTATCCAGGATCAACATGAAGAAAGGAATAAGTGTCTCGCATCCCTCTATACACACAGTAGCTACTTAACAAATCTCGGCTAAATTGATAAAAGAAAGAAACGATGAAATGCTACCTCCAGGAGAAGCAGGAACCAAACCAGGTCTTCATCAGGGAGATAGCACTAAGGCTGATTAACAATCTGGATGTGATTAAGTTAAATGTAATTAAACTGCTTTTAAGATAGTCTTCCAGATTTACTGTCATGTAAGACAGTACTCTGTACGCTGTACCCTGTTAGAAAATGTATCAAACACCCAGAGGCTTAAGACATTGCCCTGCTCTTTAAGAGTTTATGAGCTGTGTGGAAATACAAAATACCAAGTGCCCAAATCAAATAATCGGTAGACATAATGGGTGTCAAAGTGATGGCTCTTTTCATTTAATTTTGAATTAAATGAGCTCTATGCAATTGTGGACTTTTGATGTCAAAGAAAGCCTTGCAAGACCTACACTTATCCATGTGGGACACTCAGGAGTTAGGTGGGTGAGGGCAAGGTGGGTGAGGACTACTGACACCACAGATGGGGGGTGCATGTGCACAAGGCATGTTCAGACGTGGATAAGTAAGCCGGGCTAGAACACAGAGTTCCAGAAGAGTAGCAAGAGCAAGGTTGTAAAAGTGGGCAGGGATTTTTAAATAAAATAAACCTAAAAATAAAAGATGAGGATTGTCACTGATGGCTTTTGAGTAGGAAGTGAGTGAAAAGAGCATGATTACACTTAGGGAAAATGAAGATGGCAAAGTACAGGGTGGACCAGCTGGCTAGGTTAAAGGAAAGTCAAGGAACAATGTGACACTGTGGACTGAGTGCAACGGTCCAGGCATACAAAGATCAGGAACTGACTTTAAGTAGCAGCAGTGGAAATAGAAATGAATGCGGCTGTAACATAAATGATGAAAAAAGAAAAATGGGATCTGGCCTTTCTCAATAGATTCAGACACTGACATCTCTAGACCATGAGTTTTAAAGGCAGGATTGTGTCTTGTTTATCTTGGCTCCCCAGGGGCCCTACACATAGAAGGTGTTTCACACCTGTTTGGTTTTTTGTTTTTAGAGGTTTTCGCCTGAGGGTGCATGCGCTTCCGGGAGAGAGAGAGAGACGTTGAGAAGAAATGTGAGAAATCACCCTCTAGGAGGGATGACTATGCTGCAATCCTTTCTCCTGCATTCTCCTTCTGGGATCTTGGGCACACCCGCACATGGGCACTGCATGATTTTCAAGCCACTAGGTCTGGGACTTAAACTGTGGTAGCCCATGTGGACGTCCAGCAATGTAACCACTATGCCATCTGCTAGACCCTCACACCTGCTTATAATGACCATGGATTGCCCAGTCTTTTAAATAATCTTAGAGCAGATTTTAAAATGTCATGGTAGGTCCAGCAGGTCGTACGGTGGTTAAGCCACTGGACTCCCACATGGCCGACCACAGTTCAAGTCCTGGATCTGGCAGCTTGCTTTTTTGTTTGTCCTGTTTCTCTGTCTCTGTCTCTCTCTGGCAAAATAAAAAAATTAATAATAATTCATATAATAAAATAAATAATTCTCTTTCAAAATTATGGTAAACCTGATTTTGTGATTTCCCACAGAAAATTCAAGTGACTTAAGTAATTCCAGAAGCCCCTCCCCCAAAAATAGACTAGAAAACATATAATTGGGGCCAGCAGATGGCATGGTAGTTGAGGTACTGGACTTCCTCGTGGCTGATCACAGTTCAAGTCCCAGACCTGGTGGCTTGCTTTCTCACTTCCCAGGACTGTGTCCCTGCCCTGGACTGGAGGTGACCCCTGCCTGCTGTTCCTACACAGATGGCCTAGGGCACACCCTGGTTTTGGTCTACGGTGCCCTCTCCACAGCTGGAATGGCACTTTCTTGTTCCCAGTGATATCCAATGTTCCTCTTCTGAGTGTGGCCTATTCCTGTTTCCCTGGTTACTTTGAAGGGAGTAAAATGGACGTATTCTTACCAGGAAACTTCTCTGTTTTGGGGGTGGTATCTCCTAGACCACTTAGTTCCTCCAGCAAATGAAAAGAGCAATATTTTTCTTAAAACGCCTTTTGTCCCCGTGCTACTGATAAAAGAGGCGTTTCCCTATTTCTAGTTGCATTTTCTGCTCTGCCCACCCCAGCGTCCTTCATCTCATGCCACTTTGATCATCTATTTAGCCTCGTGTCTCTTTCACTCTGTCGTTCTTATTTCCTGGTGTCTATTAGTCAAACAAACAGAAAGTCATTTGGTAATTTAGAAATAAAAGACCCTGGTTGGGGGAAAGGCTAGAAGGTCGGGGTGGCCACTCACCTGCTTCAGTAAACATCCCTGCTTGATAATGACCCCTCTGAACTCTTCTTTCAGAATCACGTCATCATCACTGGAGTTCTCTTCACAGAAGAACCCGCTGTCTGGCTATCAGGAAGGCAAACAGCAGGTGAACTTACCCAGTCTTAGGGATATAGTCACGTGTATGATTTCCATCTCCCGCTTCCCTTCAGCCACTAGAGTAGGCTCCCCTTTCTCCTTTCCACCATTGTTGTGAATATCCCAGTCTGAACTTTCAAGGTTGTCATTAGCCACTTTCCCTGCCTCTTTTCTTGCTTCTAGATGCTGTTCCTTTCTGGTCTCCACTCAGATATGGCCTTGTCTTTATCCTCTCATTTTCTACATCTTCCCCAGGTATATCCTAAGTCTAGCTCCATCTTCCTCACCATGCACCTTTCTGCCTGCACACCCTTTCTGCTCTTGGGACCTCATGGCCACATCTTAAAACAGGACAAGCTAATTTACAAAACGCCATGTCATACTATCTCTATGTTGAACTTTGCCCCTAAGTCTCTTCACCTACTTGGAGAAAACCAAGAGCACGTGTCCAGCCTCCTCCTGAGGTCAGGAAGGAGTTGGGATGAGCTCAACTATTCAAGGACCATGAGTCATACAGAAGAAGAGGAGCCGCAGTGATGAATGTATTTAGAATTCTACACTTCAATGTTTAAATGGCTAATAACAACCAGATCAGAGGTGTTTGTAGGGGTGGGGAGGAACTTCCCCCAAAGTGAAACGAAACTCTGGGACATTCACTTCACTTGTGTAAGAAAGACGATTCTCTTAAGCAGTTCCTTAATTTCTGTGCTCTGATCTAAAATAGAAACAAAACTATCAACCCCCCCCCTTAGAAATCCACCATTGCTGGGTTTTCCCATAGTCCGAGATTCCGTCCACATTGTGCAGTGCGGTGTTGCCCAATCTTTGTAACCACCCCACAGGATGACTGTCACAGGTGACGTGGATGAACACGTTTTGCACTGAGTCATGTATCTAATATACATTTGAGAAGACACAAGTAGCACACTGCACTTGTGGTTTGACCAGTCCCCTCCTGAAAAGGAAGCTCTACGAGGCTGGATTTCTACCTGCCCCTGAGCCCCTCACAGAGTACCTCCTGATGTCTTAGAGCATACTGCCATGTACCAGGGCAAAAAACTAGGGGTTTTTATAAATGAATTACTGCTTAGAATAAGAATAGATATGATGGAGGAGGGTTGAAAGGTCAATTTAGAAAGAAGCAATCAAGTAAACAATAGTGTCCTTTAAGCAGATTCACTTGGACAGGACAGGCCTTGTGAAAGGAGAGGCTGTCCAGCCTGGGAAATGCTGGCGTCATAGATGTTCCACATGGGCCTGGACGCTTCAGGTATCTCTCTGTTCTCCCTGGCTGACTTTCCCCTCCTCTACCCTCCACTTAACAGCTCTTGCAGAGCTGGGCTCCTTCTTTTGCACATGAGTCCAGTGAGCTGAAGTTGACCTAGAATCTGCCGAGGCAGCCCCCATTACAGGAAGAATAGATAGGTAGCTTTTCTCACTTACAAAGTAGTAGAAGGCATCGGGGTTATCCAGGAAAGGGTTTTCAGCAGTTCCGTCCACTGCATTCTTGGACAGGTCTCCAGCAGGCTGCAGGTACCCTTCGTTGAGCAGTGAGGAGGCGATCATGAGGCCTTCCTGGCGATTCCGAACAGATTGTTTGGATACCAGCCAGTCGATGACACAGTTACCTGGAAAGGACAGAGGGAAGGTGAATTCTCCTTACCAAAGAACAAGCCACTGTTTTCACCCCTGAACTGGCTCTAGGTGTCCACCTTATCTCATCTTCCCTATTATTCCAAGAAGGAGAAAATGGAATTAGTGGTATAGATACCTGAAAACAAAAGGAACCATGAAAAAAAAATTTTTTTTAATCTACATGCTGCTTAAGAAGTAATGTATGCATCAAGAAAATAATTTTTTACTAACCTACTTGTTTATTCCATTAGCAAACAAATATTTATTGAGCATCTGCTATATGCAGGGTACTCTAATAGGCACTGGTGAGATTCCCTTAGGGAGAGATGGGTGATGGGTAAGATTGTAATGAGTGCTGGGCTGTGAGTCAATGCTGTGGTACTAGTGGGTCAAATGTGAAGATGAGGAAAGGGTGGAGGAGGTGGAGGACAGGGCTGTGCATGCAGTCAGGAAAAGATTCAGAGAGGAAGTGACACTGGGCTGAGGCTTAAAAAAGAGGTCAGTGTTTGCCACGTATGTGAGTCAAGGGCTGAGAGGAACTGTCACAGGCGGAGGGGCAGCAGTGTGAACAGATGCACGCAGGCATGAGGCAGTCCCGTGGGATGGGGAGGAGTGGGTGGGAGGAAAGCAAAAGGAGGAAAGACAGGAGGATGTCTCGCGACGGCCAGGGAGAGTTCAGATGACACAGTAAAACATTCGGCAACAGGGAGCCATCGTAAGTTTTTAAGCAGGAATCACACGATTGATGCGTGTCCCAAACCTAAATGTGATGCCATCACCTGCACTGATTTGCAGGATCCAGCAGGGACCTTGAGAAGTCATTTCATCAACTTTCTGATTCAACAGAGAATAAAATGTAATCGACCCATCGGTTGGTTTAGCAGGCTACAGTGAAGCTTTATATTAAAAACAGAGTGTTGTTTACACACTCAGGCAAAGAGGGAGACAACGTAACAGACCGCCAGTCCGGGCATCCAAGCAAGAGGAGTGGGACACACTGTCCCCAAAGAGGAGTGGGAGCAGGCTCTTAGTGGGCCTTCTGTGAATTTCACACATGAAGGGCGGTGGCCACTTTTTTTTCCTCTAGAAGGATAAACCAACTGATACTGCATTTCTGCTTTTAATCCTCACAGCAACCCTGTAAAAGAGCTAAGAAATAGTTACAGACGTCACTTTAAGGCTGAGCACATTAAGGCTCAGAGCATCTAAGTGACTTTGGGCCTGAGTTCTACCAAAGCACCACCTCCTAACCACTGCGACAGCCCTAGAGCTCTTCTCCTTCCTGAGCTCATAGAATTGATTGTGCCGAATGTGACCTCCTTACTCATCATAACCCCTGGAGAGCTCACACCAGATGGCATTTAGTGTTTGCCAGGCCATGCTCTGCGCGCATAATGCCTGTGAAGTAGAGTCACTATGACGACCCCAGCTCTATAGAGACGAAAAGGTGACGCCTTAGAGACTAAGTTATCAGTCCAGTGTTTTGTGGCTGGTAAGTTGCAGAGCCAGGATTTAAACTAAGACAGTCTAACTCCAAAGAAGGTGCTTTTAGCCATTGTGTATGCTACCTAAACTTGTAACATTTATCGTCTGCTCTTACACAGCCTTTGACATCCCTAATACTGTAGTTTAGATCTTAACCCCTGTTTATACACCTCTGTGTGTCTATCTAGCGATTCCCAACATAATAGCATTTACTGGTGGGGGAAAGATGTAAAATCCTTGATTTAGCTGGAATTTCCAAAACATTATCTGGACAAGGAAGTTCTTTTCTACCCACCTTCCTGTTTTTGCACTGAAGGAGCTCAGTTCTTAATTCAGAGCTCACCAGCCTGCGTTCTGTGACCCCTTCCACCCACCACGCTCCACGCCCCCACTTCACACGTAAGACTGAAGGGGCACTCCACATGGCCTTTCCAGTTTCCGTCTCAGACTTGCAAGTTCTTTTTACCTGTAAAACAGTGATTAAAAATCTTCTTGTCCTTCTCGAGATTCAGTTCTTTTATTCCTTTTTCAGTGTCTTTCATGGACAAATACAAGGCACTGCATGGAGATAAAAAAGAAAAATTAATTAAAAAAAAAAAAACAGACAAATGAATGAGTGGGGAGCACCTCAGAAAGATTAATTCTTTCCTGGATCTGCCATTGTGGAAAAATTTACCTGAGCACAGTTAGGCCTTTGAGCCTAATCTCCACTAACTCATAAATGGTTAAAGGTTAGCATTCATCTTTGCATAACCCTGGAGCCTGCACAGAATTTATGCACTAGGAAGATACTTAAAATCTCTTAAATTCATTAAGCTCCTTGTTGCTTTAATTCATGCTGCCTGAGAGGGAAAGTGGCCCATGTTATATACTAAAGATCAAAATTTCTGAGGGTCAGTTTTTCATGTGCATTCTAGATCATTACATGCTCTCATTCCTCATGCCTCAATTCTTTTTTTTTTTTTGAGAGTTTTGTTTGTTTGTTTTGTTTTTATGCCATAGGGCATGTGTGCTCACCAGACAGACAGAGAGAGATGGAGACAGAAAGCGAGAAATTACCCCCCAGGGGGAACAGTCACACCACAATCCCTTCTCCTCTCGGGATCTTGGGCACACACACACACGCGCCCGGCGTGAGTTTTAAGCCACTGGATCCGGGATGCGAACCGCAGTTGACTACATGGGAGTCCAGCAACATAGCCATTTCGCTAACTGCTGGTTCCCCCCCATGCCCCAATTCTTTATGGGTCTTCAAGAGGCCATCTGTTCTGGACATTTGTGTCCAAGAAAGTAAACTTTTCTACTAAACTTATTTCTTATTCTAAAAATGGTAAGAGATAAGGTAATATAGTGAGACATTCTCATTTTTGTCCTTGAAGCAATAAACTAAAAATAGCCTTAAAGAGAAATTCCAAGCAACAAAGCAGAAAGCCACTTTTATGTATCCTTTGGCTCCACACAGTCCAATAATCATTCTCACTGAGCTCTGACAGCACCATGTAGAATCCTGGTTACTCCATGACCCCAGCCAGCGGCTGCAGGTAGACCAGATGCCTCCTCTTAGGTCTTTTTTTTTTTTTTTTTGAGTCTACAAGGAGAGTGAAGTGGCTTGGTCTCATTAGCACTCAGTTCAATGCACAAAATTTATCAAACTCCTGTGACATGCCAAGTTCTTGTCATGCAGAAGAGACATCTTCTGTCCCCACTCAGTGAATCTTACCCCTGACCCCACATAAACAGAATTCTTATTGGGCATTTGTAGCAGTCAGCATGGGATTCTTCTCAACAGGGCTCCTGTTTCAGGGTATGCTCAACATAAAGCAAAAATGCCAAGAAGAAAGATATTTCTAGAGAAAGGGGTGCATGTGAGCAGAGAATATGTGAAATGTCCAGAAAGGAAGACACCCCATTCCCAACTCTTGTTGGGCAAGATTGACTTGTTGGCCTCTGACCACCTTTAGGTTACAACTATCACCTGCAATTGCAAGTCAGACATTGTCAGAGGCCATTAAACAAGGTCAGGGCACTAAAGGCTTCCACTCAAAATAAGTGTTCACTCTGACTGGTCCTTCCAGGCTGTGAATGCATGACCTTGAACTTGAACCATTGTGCCTGCTTGAATATATAGTCCCTGCCTTTTCCTATTTACCTAGAGATCTTACAGCTTTTTTTCAAGAATAACTTATTATGGCTACTTCATAAATGTGATATTGAGCCTCTTTCTCTCTCTTGATTACCCAATATAAGAGAATTTAAACTCCACTATTCTCCTTCCCTCAGCTGCTAGGTCTTGGAGAGGCCACAATCACTCCTTCAGCCCAAGGTCAACATCTTAGCATCCCATGTTCCAATACCAGCCCAGCGGAGTGAACACAGATCTCAGAGGTGTGCAAAGCAAGCCTTGGAGCAAGATCTGTTGTGTTCTTCCTTGTTGGAGGTAAGAAAGAAAAAAATAGAAAATCACCCTAAGTCAATGGTTTCTGGCAGTCGAATGGACCTCCTGGTGGATTTTCTTGCAAACTTCTGGCCTCCTTCAATGCATTTAATGGCCTTTTTGATGTCCCGAACCCAGGCATCTCTCTCCTCCAGGAAGGCTGCTTGGAAGAAGTGATCTTGCTGTTTAGTCGTAGTGATCTTAAACACAAACTAAAAATCAAAGCACACACATTAGGAAGAACTCCTTTCAAGGACTATAGGCCTTCATGAAACAGAGCAATTGACCCAATGCTGTTTTGGCCAAGAGGGACCAAAGATTCAGGGGAGTATGGGTGGAGGTGGCAGGGACTGGACAAGGAGTAGCACTCACACTGTAGGCTGTGATGCATGGACTCAAAGCTTAGGTGCCCATCAAGGGGTTCACTGTGGCTCATGACATGAACTCACCATCCTCTTGCCAAAGTCCTGACAAGGGCTAGTCAGACTGCTTCCTTTGAGGGGGATCATTCCTTTGGGGCTATTATCACTTTTCTTCTTATAGAATTCAATTCCATCTTCTAACAATACAACCCACATGGGTTTCCAGGTGTTGAAGACGCTTCCCTGTAATGACAATCAAAAGAATTGAGATGAGCAGTGCTCTTTGTAAACTGTGGTTTCTAAGTGCTTTAAAAATCATGTGAGGATGGGAACCAGCAGTTAGCGTAATGGCTGTCGCTAGACTCCCATGTAGTTGACCGCGGTTCACGCCGCGGACTCGGTGGCTTAAAACTCACGCCGGGCGCGTGTGTGTGCGTGCCCAAGATCCCAAGAGGAGAATGGAGGAGAAGGGATTGCGGCGTGACCATCCCCTCTGGGGGGTGATTTCTCACGTCTGTCTCTATGTCTCTCTCTGTCTGTCTGGCGAGCGCACACGCCCTCTAGCGAAAACCTCTCAAAAAAAAAAATCGTGTGAGGTGCCAGCCAGTGGCATGTTGGTCAAGGTAGCTGTGCAGTTTGAGTCTCAGATGCACAGCTTGAAAAACATGCTACATGCACATATGCATGCATGCCCATAATCCTAAAAGGAAGAAGAAGTAGAGGAGAAGGGACTGTGTGGTGGCCATCTCCCATGAGGGGCGCTTTCTCACTTTCTCTTTCTTTCTCTGGCAAGCATACGTACCTTCTAGCAAATTAAAAAAAAAAAAAAAAAAGTGATTGACCCTGGTGGCACAGTTGGTAGCAAACTGAACTGCAGTAGTGGAAGCCACACAGCCAATTACGGATTCAGGTCCCTGCCTCAGCCTGAAAACACAACAGGCACATGCATGAGTGCTCACTATCTGGTGAGCTGGAGGTCTGGAGAAAAGGAATCACGGCATGGCGAGACCCTCTCAAGGGTGCTTCTCTCACATTGACTCTCTCTCTTCCTCTCTCCCTTGTGCTCATACACTCTCTATCATGAATAAATAAAACTTAAAAAGTATGTACTCTATGACATCACTTTTTCTGTTCAACATAAATCCTCTCAAATCAATGACTTCTTACAAGTGTCATTCTAATATCTACCCCTGGTCCTTTGCTGGGGCTGTCCCCACTTTCTGTCCCTCTGCTCTTTCTCTCCTTGACAACTTCTCCCCACCTTTCAAGGCTCAGCTTCACCACCTTCACAAAGGCTTGCCATTCTGCCCTGGCCACCCTAATCTCAGGGCCAACTCCTGCTTTTCTTACCCATTGTGCCGCACATTCGGGAACTTGGCTTTACGCTGCTTTGTAGAGTTCACTAATTGCCTTGAGTGTGGTTATCTCTTCTTCTCCATGGCAATGACCCTGTCAGACACTTTCAATGGCTCACGACACTGAGCACAGTGACTGTTCAGTATGTTTTGCGAATTGCCAAATACTAGTGGCTTTCACACTTGACTGAGAAAAGCAGCCAGCCCTTCTTACTGCCTACTTAGTCTCCACCCAGGCCCTTTTCTGCTTTAAGTTCCCCCTGTACCTCCCTCTTTACGCTTGCTTCACACCAAGAACCACAGGGCAGCCACCCCATGTTGACATTCTCACCCCACTACTATGTGTAAGAACTGTCAGCCGGTCTTTCTTTTGTAGCTAGCTCTTTCTCATGGTCATAGAGGATAGCTCATTTTTATTTTTTGTCATCATTTATTCTTGAATTATTAATGCCTATTTATAGGAGAGAAAAAAATATTTTAAAACGTATGTGTATTGGTATTTGATTGGAAGGGTTTGTATGTTGTTTTAGAAAATTATAATTCTTGGGTATATTTATCAGAATTGAAGAAAGAGTCCAATATTCTAAAGTCAAAATGTAGGAAGCTCTTTTCCTAGTGTGTTTCAAAATATGGCTTGCAGACCATCTGCTCTGAATCACTGAAGTTGGCTGGAAATAAAATCGGTCCCATTGCACATCAGCCCTGGTGACACTGCTGTGATTGCTAAGGCTTAGGCAGACAGCCTAGGTCAAGCTCTTGCTTCTCTACTGCTCGAACTCAGCTTCCCTGAGCCTCAGTTCCCAGCAATAAAATCGGGACAATAATGATCACCTCATATATTAAGTGAAATAATGTGGATGGTACTTTGTAAGTTCACATGTGCTCTACAAGTGGGAGGGTCTACTGTTAAATATCTTGAGAGGTAGCCATGCATAGCTTCTTTAATGTTTTGCATTTCCATCACAGTGAGAACTGCCCTTTCATCCGCTCTCTGTGCCTAGGAAATTATAAGGAGTTGGTACCACCCTCATGGTGTTAATAAGGAAGAAAGTCAAGAGTATTGAAGCAGTTGCTATGCAGCACAGTGGGACAGAAGGCTCTGCACCAGTGTGTTTCCAAGGAAACAAATCACCTCTCTGGTTTCTTTCCTGGTAGAATGAAGTTCAGGGAGCATGTGAGGTCTGGCCTGCCCCTGGATATGCAGGCCTTCTCTCCATGGTACATCATGTATATGTATTCAGGATGTTTATAGGCATGGGAGTACCTGGGGTCAAACTTTGAACCTGCACTTGAGCCTCATGTTGACCACTTATTAGCTGGATATGTTCTTAGGAGAAATGTTTAGTATTTCTGAACTGCAGGATTTTTTTTTCTTTTTTTTTTTAAGAATTATTTAATTTATTTATTATTATTATTTTTTAATTTGACTAGAGCAAGAGAGAGACAAAAAGTGAGAGAGTATGCTGCCAGGTCCGAGAGTCAAACCATAGTCGGCCATGTGGAAGTCAGCACCTTAACCACCACTCTTCCTCCCCAACCTGCAGTTTTGTTTTGTTTTGATTTTTAAGAGGGAGGTAATAATTATATCTTATGGCATGGTAACAAGATTAATTAGGCTTAGATAACATGTTAAATATGTATGTAGAATGTATACATGCATTATATAAAGTATACATTATACATGTATACTCAGTCAACTATAAATTGCCACCAAACCATATTCCAGGAGAGCAGGAAACTACCTCACCATGACTGCCAGATGCTCAATAAGTAGTCTGTGAAGTAAATGGTTAATTAATTTATAATTTAAATTCACTATTAAACTCACATTTATGTGTTAATGAATACCTAAGATGGAATAAAGAAGATGTAAGTGAATTATTAGCATAATAGTAGAAACAATACATAGTGTATATTGATGTTTTCTGAAGCTATTCTATAGACATATGGAGGATTTAATAAATAGCCAGTATGGAAGCAGGTGACCCACATCTGTATGATGAGGCTGTTCAGAAAGGCAGCCTTCAGGGGAGAAAGGGACTGTCATGTTGCTGAAATTTTATCAAAATGGTAAAATGTATATACATCTATAATCAGTCCTTATGCTCCTCATAAACCATTACCAAGGGAATATAGCATGGGTCTCTACTCTCCTTCTTGTACATTTCATGTTGACTTCTGCGGTTACTTTCCATTCCCAACCTGTCCATTGTTCAGTCCAACTCAGGGAGGGCAAATAGATTCTAGCTCAAGGACCAACTCAGATTGAGTGGTAGGGGATGTCTGAGTCTGGACTCACTGGGAAAGTGTCATGATCCAATAGTCATGTCTACCAAGGGCATGGAGGCCGTAAATGATGGCACGCATGCTGCAGTTACTGACATTCATTGGTCTCATCAGTTTTTATCTGAATGCGAACGTCAAGAAGAAACTCAGACATGGCTGGATTGCATGACAGTCTTTTGCAAAATGTTTTTAATACCAGAGCATTGCTAGCCACTTCACTGTGGCCTTTAGGGAAATCCTTACTTAGAAAGTTTCCCTTTGGGTTAATGGCAACTGCCCCTTTCATCCTGAATAACCAAGGAGGTCTCTCTTGTGTCCATTTTGGGAGGGCTTTGGAAAAGGAAGAGAATAAGGTTCTTTGCCTTTATCCTTTAACCCACAATGCCACTCTGTCATGACTATGACAAAATAGAATTATCATCCAGTTCCCAGCCGATCCTGCTGCTTATCTTAAAATGCAAAGGTCCTCCATATAAAGGTCCAGTTACCCGAAAGGAAGGCTATTTATGCATAGAAGACAAGTAACTTATGAGATTATCGCTTTACTTGTTAAACATTTCCTTTGCCTTGGTTTTAAAAAAAGAATTTTTTAGATTAAAATACACTATCTCTTCTTTGCACAGTCAGAATAACTATCCTGGACTAACACCAGATAATTACTCTTTTTGAAAAAATAGGCAAGGTCAGACACTTGCCGTTAATCCAATGCATGAAGTAATTAAAATCAAATGCCCTTGTGTTACATCTGAGAGAGATTCATGTCCAAAATATAAAAAACTGCAAATCAATACAAAAAATACAAACAAAGGGACCAGCAGTTAGCGTAATGGCAATGTTGTTGGACTCCCATGTAGTCGACCGCAGATTGAGTCCCGGACCCGGTGGCTTAAAACTCACGCTGGGCGCACATGTATGTGTGTCCAAGATCTTGAAAGGAGAATGGAGGAGAAGGGATTGTGGCATGGCCACAAATTAAAATTTTAGTTTAATATTGATTAACACATAAATGTGAGTTTAATCACTAGGAGGTGATTTCTCGCTTTCTGTCTCTCTTTCTCTCTCTGTCTGTCTGGCGAGTGCACGCACCCTATAGCAAAAACCTCTCCTAAAAAAGATACAAACAAGGCACTTCACTGAAAAAGATATTGAAAAAGCTTACAGAAATGTGTTCAACATCATACAGATTCAAACCATAATGAGGTACCACTACAGACCCACTAGGGTACCTAACACTAAAAATATGGAGTAAAAGTAAATCTTGGCAAGTAGGTAAAATCATTGGAATTTTGGTACATGGATGGCAAGAGTGCAAAATGTTACAATTTTGGAAGTTCATGTTAAAGTTAAACATATATATGCCAGTATCAACAATTCCATTCCTGGGCACAGATTTGAAAGATGAGTACCTTCCACCACAAAGAATACTTGGAAGACTGTTCATTGCACCTTTATTCATAGTATCCCAAAACAGCATAACTAAAATCCTCATCAACAAGAGAATGGATAAGTAAATTGCACAACACGGTACAACTTAGCAATTAAAAAAAGAAAGAAAGGAAACAAAAAAAGAAAGAAAGAAGAACCACTGATACTTGCAACACC